TCTTTATATAATCTAAATCTATCAATATCTCTATCTTATCTTTATCTATCTCTATCTCATCGCTCTCTCCTTCTGTCCTATCTCTATCTCTATCTTTATCTAATCTATTTAATCTCTCTCTCTTATTTTTATATATCTAATCTATATCTATCTATATCTCTATCTTATCTTTATCTATCTAACATTCATTCATTCATTCATCTGATTTTTATCTAATCTTTATTATTTTTATAAAGAGCTCAGGAGGGCCTCATAGCTAAATACTCCTCCTATTTTTCCCACAACAACAACCCTGTGAGCGACTGGCCCAAAGTCATCAAGCGGGGCTTTCCTATATTATCCCTTATTTAGACCAGGTGGAATACATTTTGGAGGCTTTGATGAAACAACTGGCACTGTCATATTGCAGACATTAACAGGGCTCTTCTGTTCGAGGGTTGCTACTTCAGCAACCAGGAGCACTTTTTCTGTCTGGCGATTTGGGGAGAACACGAGGGAAGCTTCTTTGCCCCCCCCTCCCAAAGGGGAAGCGGGGTGTGGGAGTGGAACAGCCAGAATGAAATGCTGTCCTGCAACCTCTCGCTCCCTCCCTGAAATGCTTTTCCTAACTCAGAGCTTTGAGCTGTCAAAGAGAACTGGCATTATTTTCTAACAGCAGTTCTAGCAGTTTAATTCTTGGAGGCAAAGGGGAAGGGAAGGGAAGAGAAGGGAAGGTGGGAGGCAGGAAGAAAGGGAAAGAAGAAAGAAAAGGAAGAAGAAAGAAAAATGAATAAAGGAAAAGAAAGAGAAAAAGAAAGAGAAAAAGAAAGGAACAAAGAGAAGAAAAGAAATATAGAGAGAAAGAGAGAGAAGGGAGGGAGAGAGGGAGGGAGAGGGAGGGTGGAAAGAAAAAGAAAGAAAGGGAGGGGAAAGAGGGAGAAAGAAGGAAGGAAGGAAAGAAAGAAGGAAAGAAAGAAGGAGGAAGGGAGGGAGGGAAAAAAAGAAAAAGAAAGGGAGGGGAGGGAGAGAGCGAGACCAAGAAAGAAAGAAGAAAAGAAAAATAAAATGAGAGAAAGAGAGAGAAAAGCAAGGAAGGAAAGAGAGAGAGAAGAAAGGAAGGAAGGAAGGAAGGAAGGAAGGAAGGAAGGAAGGAAGGAAGGAAAGAAAGAAAGAAAGAAAGAAAGAAAGAAAGAAAGAAAGAAAGAA